TTATAATTTATTGACGAACTTAAATTTGGTTGGGCATATTGAATATGAAGTTGTGGTGGCTGCCAATATCCTCCTTGTTGAGCATTTTGAGGTTCCCACCACATAGAGTTTGAATGATCACTCCAATCCGAATTGTAAGTATTGGAAAACACGTTATTCCTTGATTGAAGATTAAATATATCAACTCTTTGCATTTGGGACCTTTCCATGAGTTGTGACAAAAGAGAAGCATTATCAAGTGCCATCTTGTTCTTAACAAACAAAACACAAATAAAAAAAAAACTAAATCTAAAAGACAATACAGAAACAAACAATCCAAGGGATTAGCAAATTTTCTAATCCCCGGCAACGGCGCCAAAATTTGATGCGAGATTTACTTGACACTCAAATTAAACCCTCGTTTGACAATTGTAGTAGAATGGATAAGTGAGGGATCGTTCTAGACCGGGGATTAGGAGGGCTTGCTAAAACCTTCTAAATTGACTTAAAAACATAAAAACTAAATTAAAATACTCTTAACAAGACTACTATGACTCAGAATGGCTTTGAAAAACTCAAATTGTCTAAAACAATCAAATTGACTCAAATAGAAGCTAGAACTTGATTTAAACGAATTTGCAATTGTTTATGACTCCAAAAGCTTAAAGATACAAAAATAAAACAAATACAAATGATTAAGACTTAACAAAATAGGGGGGGGGGGAATTGTGGTTGGACGATATTAAATTAAAAAGACAGAATATAATTAAAGGCAAAATGTAAATATGAATGTGATAAAAATATGGATGATGGAATAGCCAAGGGGTTCTTCTCCACACATGTTACACTTGCAAACAAAATTGATTCTCAGTTGGTCTTTCGATAAGTTGTGAAACTCAATGCTCCAAGTTAATTAGATCCGCTTAGATTAACTTTCAGATTTCCCTAAATTCGTTGGATTGAATGGAATACGCATTACAACCAAATTATTCTTAATCAAAGTCCCTAACTATGGAATACGCATGATAGAGACATTCAACAAAGATCATTAAGTTCAACGGAAATCATAAACATCGACGAGGCATTCGTTACTATGGAATACGCATGAAACTTATGCCAAGAATTCGTTTAACGCACTTATATTCTAGCGTCATATTTATGCATGAAAATTAAGCTTGCAATCTCAATGAACATACATAAATAAGTTATCAATCAAACAGTTAAACGAATTGAATCCACAACTTATGAAATTCCAACCAAACGTAATCAATTCAAAATGCAAATATAAACATAGTTTCGAATCACCCCCTAGCTAAAGGGGGGTTTAGTTCCTCATAACTTTGAAATCAAAGAAACACCTAAACATTCCAACAACTCAAACGTGAATTGTATGAACGTTTAGGCACTCTTCTCTTCACTTCTCATACGTACAAAACAAAGAGAATTAAATTTAAACTTTGAAATCAAAGAAACACCTAAACATTCCAACAACTCAAACTTGAATTGTATGAACGTTTAGGCACTCTTTTCTTCCTCGTTGTTGTAGCACAAGGTCTAAGGTGAGCTTTGGGGATTATGTGAAGTGTTTTGGAGGGATGGGAAGTGGTTGGATAGTGGCTGCAATGAAGGAGAAAAACTGCACAGAAAATGGAAGGGGAATTGCGGCAATGGATGTGTATTTGTGTTGTGTGAAGTGTTGTGAATGGAAATATGAGATATGAATTGAATGAATGAATGCAAGGGTATTTATAGGAGTAGTGGAGGGAACATATGGTTGTTTGTTTAAGATGCAAGTGGCTAATTAATGATGGAAAAGTATGTGATTTAAAGGATGCAAAGTGAATGAATCATGAATCATTGTGGATGAAAGGTGGAAGTGCATGTGTTGATGACTAGGTTAGTGGGTGGAAATCTGAAAATGGCATATAGGAATGGGAGCTCACGGTTTGAATGTGTAAAGTGTGTGTGAATGCATGTGAAGATGCAATAAATAATGCATGTAGGGTTAGGAAATAATGAAGAAATGCATGTGAGATGTTTGGAAAGGAAATGGGAACCCACGACAATGAAGTTGTTTTGTGTTGTGAATTATGATGAATGCATGTGAGTTAAAGAGGGAGAATGTGGTGAAATGATGAAGTAGGAAGGTGGAAATGCATGTGAGATGTTTGGAAAGGAATAAAGAATGAATGGTGGAAATGTGAGTGAATGATGTGCATGTGTGAGAATGCATGTGGAATTAAGAGGAGTATGGAAGTGAAATAAATGAATGATATGTGGTGAGTGATAAGTGAATGGTTTGATAAGTGATAAATGAATTAGTTTAAAGGGCTAGGGTTTAAGTACATAGAATGGGCCTAAAATAGGTTGGTTTGTATGGCATAATGTGTTTGATTGGGCTAGAGCCATTGTTTTGTGTCTTCAAGTGTATACAAGGCCTTCAAATTCGTCCATCCTCTTGGCTCCATGGATAAGCTATCCAATCCATGCCCAAAAATGCTCCAAATGGCCTCAAAATGCACTTTCTTGCTCCCTAGGCCCTTAGAACCTGAAAACACACAAAAGAAGCATAAAGGACTAAAATAACGAGAGAAACATAACGTAAATTCACGAGAACAAGCCATTTAAGTCGCATGAATATGCTCCTATCACTTGGGAGGGAACACTGTAGCTGATGTCGTGCATAATAAGGCAGTGATCATAGATGCCGTGCGTGATAATGGGGCTGGAATGCCACGGCAGATTGTTGTCGAGAGCGGCATGCAGTCAGGAGTGATTGCAGCCGAGAGTGATCTGCAGTCAGGGCAGGTTGTTGACAAGTCTGCGGACGTAACCCCCTCTCTCTCTAGCTCCACAGTGCTGCCCAATGAATCTTCTCTGGATATACCTGAGGTAAGTATTGTGGATGATTATGTAACTAACGCGAGTAATGATGTAAATGCATATAAGCTGCCACCGAGACAAAATCGGGGTGTGCCACCTGACGGGTTTTCTCCGGAAGGCAAAGTGAAGTATCTGATAACCAACTATGTCTCCTGCAATGGTCTTGCACCAAAACGCAAGACCTTGGTGGACAATATGGAGGCTATTCGAGTACCAACCCGTGTGGATGAGGCTCTAAAGGATCCAAAGTGGGCAAAAGCAATGGATGAAGAAATGTTGGCATTACAGAAGAATAATACCTGGGAGGTGATGTCCTTACCAGAAGGAAAAAAACCAGTTGGATGTCGGTGGGTGTTTACTGTCAAATACAAAGCCGATGGATCATTAGACAGGTACAAAGCAAGGTTGGTAGCTAAGGGATACACCCAAACATATGGTGTAGATTATCAAGAAACGTTCTCTCCAGTTGCCAAGATAAATACGGTACGCGTTCTGATATCTTTAGCTGCTAATATGGACTGGCCATTAAAACAGTTTGATGTGAAAAATGCTTTCCTCCATGGGAACTTGGAGGAAGAAGTATATATGGATTTTCCTCCTGGATACAGTGCTGGCAGAAATACCGGAGTATGTCGGTTGCGTAAGTCTCTTTATGGGCTTAAGCAATCGCCTCGTGCATGGTTTGATAGGTTTACTCGAGTTATGAAAAAGATTGGGTATTATCAGAGTCATTCTGATCATACATTGTTTGTTAAACAGAGGCATGGAAAAGTGACAGCTTTAATCATTTATGTAGATGACATGATTATTACTGGAGATGATTTTGATGAGATTTCAAGGTTGGAGAAAAATCTTGCGGCTGAGTTTGAAATGAAGAACCTAGGGGATTTGAAGTATTTTCTTGGAGTTGAAGTTGCTTGATCTTCGAAAGGTATTTTCTTGTCACAACGTAAGTATCTTTTGGATTTGTTAAAAGAAACTGGTATGCTGGGATGTAAGCCAGTAGATACTCCTATTGTTGAAAAACACCATCTATGTTTAGATCCGAATCAGAAATCTGTTGATAAGGGAAGATATCAGAGACTTGTAGGGAGACTAATTTATTTGGCTCATACACGTCCTGATATTGCTTATGCAGTGAGTGTAGTAAGTCAATTTATGCATTCACCGAGTGTAGATCATATGGCTGCTGTTATGTGCATCTTAGCATATTTGAAGTCTGCACCTGGGAAAGGAGTTTTATATCGGAAGCATGGACATTTGAGGGTTGAAGGGTTCACAGATGCTGATTGGGCAGGAAGTGTGGGTGACCGACGGTCTACTTCAGGATATTTTACTTTTGTAGGAGGAAATTTGGTTACATGGAGAAGTAAAAAACAGAAGGTAGTATCAAGATCCTCAGCTGAGGCTGAGTATCGAGGGATGGCTCACGGCATTTGTGAGATTCTCTGGCTTCGAAAACTCCTTGAGGGGCTTGGGTTCAAGCCAAAGGAGACCATGAGACTATACTGTGATAATAAGTCAGCGAGAGATATAGCTGATAATCCGGTACAGCATGATAGGACAAAACATGTGGAAGTTGATCGACATTTTATTAAAGAGAAACTTGAAAGGAAGATTGTGTCAATACCTTTTGTGAATACGGAGGAGCAACTTGCAGATGTTCTAACTCATGCAGTATGTAGTCGAAAGTTTGATGACTCACTTGTCAAGTTGGGCATGTGTGATATATATGCACCAACTTGAGGGGGAGTGTTAGTCATGAGTCAATATTAGGAAAAAAAAAGGGAATGTAAATAGTAGGAGTCCTTTTTTAAGTAGGTTGTTTATAAGCTTTATTTAGTTTCCTAGTTGAACACTGATTGTATATATATATATATATATATATATATATATTTCTAAAGAAGCAATACAATTTTTTTATTCCCGTAAAAGTTCTATTGTTACATGTTAGTACCCTTCTAGGAGAATCCATTAACTTGGCTAAGTGCACTAGTAGTGTGCAGGCTGCCTTGAACATTGACTCTGTTCAACCCATAGTTAATTAAGGGTCTCATTCCATACTTTTATACTCTTTACTGGTTCAGTTTGCATTTGAACAGTTGTGATTAGGGTGTGAGTGATAGCCTCTGCCGACAGTAATATTTATCTTTCAGATTCCTATGAGTCAACTGTTCATATTTGGTAACTTTTTAATTTTACTTTTACTTCTGAGTGACTGATTGGTAGTTTATTTTGTTTAATCCATGATAATTTTTAACGGTTTAGTTGTTTGCATCGTATTTAAGGATCTGGCATTTGATTTGTCCCTTTCTGTACTCCTGGGAGATAATATCTACAACTTTGGAGAGCTGCTTGCGCATCCTATCGTAAGAACATTTTTGCTGAGTTTTTTGTTTGGTTTCATAATATTTTGCTTCCTGTGCACTGCGTGTTACGTGGAAGAGTTCCCTTTCAAGATGCACAAGGTGTTTTTGTTACTTTATATGAAATGTTTTTGCACCAAATACTAGGACATTGGATTTGAAATTGATCAGAAACTAAGTAATGCATGCGCAACTAAGCCTGTATGTAGATTCGCAATGCAGTCTTGTTGATACTGCTATTTATCATACACTGTACAGTCACCAGTTATTACCGCAATTCATGTACCTTTTTTTACTTTGGTTCTATTTTCACTTTCCCACCTAGAGCCTGATAAATTACTTTTGATTTCTACTGCTATAGACTATCATGAAGTGATTGTCATCTCAAACCTAGTTGCCTGGATCTTTGTATGATATGTGCATACATGGTTCTTTTTACATGGATAAATGTTTGTACATTGGGTTTGCATAATGGTTTAGTGAACCATGTGGTTTTAGGATCTCAATTTCTCTTATCTACCCTACCGTGGACGCTTGCACCGTCCATTAGTGTTTTAGTGGATGACCTACTGCTTATATAGATATTAATTACATACCTAGAAAGACCTACTGCTTATATAGATATTAATTACATACCTAAAAAGTTTCTATGTAGTTGCCATGTGTTTCTTCTGATATATGTAGCCTGTAGGCTACATTATAAGTTATTTGTGCTTCACTTTTCTTTTTTAATATATGACAAATTTTAACAATCTATCTAGATTAAGAGCCTTCTAGGGACAAAGGTAGAGTGGCTTTACTATATTCTTCAAGCGTTCAACTCTGGTGATTTAGTTCGGTATCAAGAATTATGTCGTGTACACAATGCTGCTTTGAGAGCACAACCAGCATTAGTTGAAAATGAGAAGAAGCTTTTGGAGAAGATTAACATTCTGTGCTTGATGGAAATTATCTTCAGGTTTGTGTGTTCTAGATTGTCCTTTCACTTGTAATTTGTAACAAAGGTGTGTGCTTTTGAACTACTATTCACTAAATTGATATGGTCCTTGCAGCCGGCCATCTGAAGATCGGACTATACCATTGAGTATCATTGCAGAGCGCACCAAACTTTCTGTTGAGGATGTGGAGCATCTTCTTGTGAAGAGCCTTTCCGTAAGTTCCTGTATTCTTAAACTTGATGGACAGTGAATTAATTTGGATTGTCCAAACTAAAGTTCTACAACCCCTGCCTTTTCATTTCTCCCCACTTGCAGATGTATACCAGTAGAGAAGAATGGTTTTTATGACGACAGTTCTCAATGCATGTCTTAGTAACAAGAAAAGATTAAGTACTCACAACGATACTTTTCATAACTCTTGCATTCAGAATAGGAATTTAAAAAAAAAAAAAAATGAGAAGCTTATGATTTGAGAGACTGAACTTTTTACTTGGTAAAGTGCTAGTATTCTAAAGTTGATCACATGAACACGTTTGAGACATGTTAGATCCTATGTATATGGTATTGGCATTTCAAATCTTATTTGCACATATGTTGTGGGTTCCACACTTTCAATTCAATATAACTGACCTAGGATATATTGTATGTTGCATGCAGCATGCAGCATGTGACATGCAAATGAGTATAAATAATTATATGTTGTTCTTGTATTTATTTGTAATATTATTTTACATACAATTTAGTTTCAGACAATAAATTTAAGGCCTTTATTGCATCCAATTGTTTTGTAGTTGTACAGCTGTCTTGTACAATAGTTGTAACAAGGGAAGATTTAGGATAGTAGTTTCTGCCTTAACAAGGAAGTAATTAATCGGATTTGTTTTCTTTCTGTTTTTGTGGGGTTTACTTAAGACTTGGCACTGTTAATTTTATAAATAAAAGGAGACTGAATACGTTATGATTTGGTAATTATTATGTATCGTATGGTTTTTGGTAGTTTCTTTGTTAATCTGTTTTGCATTTGGATTTTCTATATTGCAGACAAGCAGGGTGTTAGATGACTTATTCGCTTATTCTGTAGTTAGAAAGTGTTGCTTTCTTTCTATTTTCTATTTAATAATTATGGGAGAGATGTTGACTGCAGGTTCATCTGATTGAGGGAATAATCGATCAGCTTGAGGAGACGGTGCATGTGTCCTGGGTGCAGCCAAGAGTTTTGGGGATTCCACAGATCCAATCTTTGCGTGATAGGCTGGACGGTTGGTTGGACAAAGTCCATACTGCTTTGTTATCGATCGAGGCGGAAACACCTGATTTGGTTGCGTCTTGAGTCGCCTCTTGCTTTATTTTCTGCCTAGTGTAACAAATCCTTATCGGAAAAATAGGGGGTTCAAAATGCAAGGGCGGCCAGGAAACACTAGTTTTCGGTTGATTGAGCACTTCGGGCCAACTTTGTTTATGCTGCTTTTCTTATTGGTGATGCTTTTTTGTTGAATCATTTTCCTGGAAGGAGCGGCCTTGTGTACTGTACTTGGGAGTAATACTCCATTGTTTAGTGGCATGGCATGCCTAGAGACGTGGTGAATCGATTAAAACGCGCTGTCGTTATACCTTTGTATTTTGAATTTTCCTTTCCTTAGATAACCTAACTTTATGCTTTTTCATTAGTTTTAATGATTTTCTCCTTCTCGCTACTAGTTCATTTCGCCGTAAATGTTTCGTGTTCTGTTACTCGCTGATGGATGACCGTTTGAACCTAAAAATCCTTCATTTTTGCAGTGCGTGCATTGCCAAAATGGGGTTACATTGCATCAGAGTATTTGTGTGACATGTATTTTAGGTTTTAGGGTTGGTTGCATGAATTCGGCTTTGACAAAATTGTATTCTCTGGTGCCCGTTGCAGCTGGAGATTGCTTCTTTCAAGAAAGCAGAAAGTAGCGTTGCTCACAAGTGTTTCTACTAGTACTTTTATTATAAATCTTTGGCTTTTTAGCTTCAAATGACCCTTGAGATTGGCTAACTTTTCATTTTTGTCATTGTGATTTGAAATTGATAGAAGTTGTCATTGAGATTGTTCACCGTTAATCATTTTGATCATTTCGTATTGAATAAAAAAAATAAACCAAATTAATCCAACAAAAACTAAGGGAATTTTTGTTATTTTATTCTTATTGAACGAAGATTCTTTGTGAGATTAGGTGAGCTAGGCGGACGGCTAAGTAGATGTAGGCGCATTTTTTTAATTTTCAAACATCTATGAACTAATCAGGACGGTAGTCAGCCGCCTAGTATCAAGACTAGGGCTAAGTAGCATTAGGTGAGAATTTTTAGAATGATGCTTATCACACAATACTGTTGGATCAAATGAATTTAAAAAGATTAATAACCAAAAATTTAAAAAAGTGAGAAATAAAAATGTGTGTAAATAGAAGTGTCTAAACTTAATTAGAGCAAGTCCACTGTGTGCTCCAGCCCGAGGGATAGGCGCAAGAACAGGGCCATGTAGCCCAAGTGATGAAGCCCAGCGTGTGCTGGCAAGCGAGCCTGAGCAGGCCCGAAGGAAAGGCCCGACGATTCATGCTAGCCCGAGCTCCTGAAGGCAATGTGACATGGGCTCACGTCAACCACAACATAAAATTAATAAAAATAAAAAATATTAATAAAAAATTTTAAATTTTAAAAAAATTAAAAGAATGTAAAACCCAACGGGCACTCGCGATCCCCCTCCTTTGTCGTCGCACCCCAGTCCCTCCTCCGCTGCAACTGCTACCACACCTCACACTGCCTTCACCTCCATGCACTCGCGATCCCCCTTCTTCCACTCGCGCGTCCAGATCGCATGATTTGTGACACACCCTGACCGAAATCAAGGCATGCTGCCCGTCACGTGAGAGTGATGTAGCCATGTGCACAGTGCGGAAGTATAAATAATAATAGAAAAGCGAATAAATAAAAACCAAACTACTAGATAAACTAGTTAAAGTAATACGCTAGTGTAAGACTAAGTGTGATAAATATAATCAGAGCACAAAAAGTCTAAGTGCAGTCCAGTAGGACGAATACTAATTACACAACACCCAAAGGTGATCCTACATTTGTGTTGTTTGTCAGAACCACCGTCAAAGTTCTCGTGAGCCACCAAAGTGCTTCTACCTAAAACCTGGAAGGGCGCAAAACAGAAAGTGTGAGTGAGCAAAAACAAAGCTTTTCAAAATCATTTCATTCTCAAAAGTTCTAACCCCTCTCCGTAAAACCTGTATAAGTTCCCAGAAAATAGAATATATGAATATAACGAAATCATGCTCAGAATAACAACATTCATAAATATGTCACGACAAATTTCTCAGCATAAAGTATAAGTAAACCAGGTGATATCAATCAATGCAAATGATATGTCAGCCGGAGTCACCTAACGTGACCTGTACGGCTGAATCTAGAGCTCGAATCCACATCTCAACAACTATACCTGCACACGAGTCGGAACCACCTAAAGTGGTCTGTACGATAGGATTATTCACTTTTCTAGACAAGGCATTACTCCCTCATCCGTGATAATCTTTTCCACTCCTAATTTGTCATACCTAATACCTTTAGACTTGGGACCCTCCTTCCTTAAAATGCAAACATTCCCCGTCATAAACCTGAAGTAGTTCAAGATGTACCTAATTTGGCAAACCTTGTAGATGTACTAGAGGATCCTCCTTTAGCCAACTCCATTTCAAAAAGAGTCTCACCAGGTTATGAAGAGAAGAAATCCAGTGTGGTAAGTTTTCTAAACGCCTTGTCAAATATAGTCACTGAGATCCGGAAAACAGAATCAAAGTTCGGGTCGTGTCTGCCAGAGCTTATCACTCATTGTTCATGCACAACATGTAAGTAAAGCTTTAGAGTTTTTATGAACAATTTGCTTTCTCTGCAGTGTATATGTTCCCTCCTCCTTTGGGTAAGCCTGCCAGATAAGTCCTCTTAACGTTGCGTATGAGTTTTGACATGTAATCTTTTCCGAGTATTCTCTATGTATCGTCCCTAAGCACGTAGGTTTCCGTATAGCTAGGTGCAAACACGTGTGATATTAGCTTAGTGTACGTACAATTCTATAACTTGGTGGGTCGCAGGTGTATTCGACCCACTCCTGAAGAGCTGGAGAATTTTGGTACTCCGGACTTCACTGTATACAATGCTGGCCAGTTCCCGTGTAATCGTTACACCCACTACATGACATCCTCTACTAGCATAGACCTTAATCTTGCTCGGAGGGAAATGGTCATCCTCAGCACCATGTACACTGGGGAAATGAAAAAAGGTCTTTTCAGTGTCATGCATTATCTCATGCCTAAGTGACAAATCCTATCCCTGCATTCTGGCCGCAATATAGGGAAAGATGGAGATGTTGCCCTTTTCTTTGGATTGTCAGGTATAGTATCGTCAATAGATCGCGGTTGTCATCTTGGTCTCGCAACCATATGATATGTGCTCTCCTACTCTTGCTCGCTGTCTGTTAGCTTATGACAGTTTAATTCTTTCTTATGGTATTTGCCTTTTCTTTTCATTTTACTATTTAGGTACTGGAAAGACGACTCTGTCTACGGATCACAATAGGTACTTGATTGGAGATGATAAACACTGCTGGACTGAGAACGGTGTGTCAAATATCGAAGGTGGTTGCTACGCCAAGTGCATTGACCTGTCAAGGGCGAAAGAGCCAGACATTTGGAACGCCATCAAGTTTGGCGCTGGTAATATGTCACCTTGATTTCTTGGATATGTGGATATGATGGAATCAATATGATGAAGAAGTAATAGTGTTTAATTTGTTTGGTCTTTTGAATTCGACTTGAATTTATTGGATTTTTGCAGCATAGCAAGGAAGAAGAGGAGAAGAAGAAGCCTTGGACGTTTTTGCATTCAAGTTGGAGTGTTGGAACGTTTTAAGGTGTAATCTATCTTTTGTTTTCAATGTTGAATTCGAGTTTTTTTTGTTTTGTCGTGAACATGAGAGGCTAAACTCGTTTTAGCTAGGGGAGACTTTGAAACCATGATTATGTTTATGATATGAATTGATTAATTCCAATTGTGATTTCATAAATTGTGAATGCAATTTAGTTAACCGTTTGATGGATAACTTATTCTTGTATGTGGATTAGGAAGGCCTACTTAATTTGCATGCTTGAATTTGGTGCTAGAATATAAGGGAGTTTCACATAATCGTTACAAACTTATATTCACAAGTAGTTAAGGTTGTTTTCACAATCATGTTAAGTAAATTCCTAGCATGAGTATCATGATTTATAGTTACAAGTGCTTTGTCAATACTTATGATTTTCATAGAACGTAATGATCTTTGATTGTATCTCTATTATGATGTCACGTAGGGAACTTTTGAAGAATGCTTTGGGTTGTCATATGATGTCATCCAATCCAATAACTAAAGGAGAATCTAAGGGTTAATTTGTGATGTCACGGTTAATCTGGGGTGTTGAGATTCATGGTTTATCGAAAAAACAACTGGAAATCAATTTGTATTTGAATGTATCATGTGTGGGAAAGAATCCTCTAGCTAGTCAATCGTCCATAGGTTTTCTCAAATTCGTCCAAAGTTTACTTAAGTCTTTTAGTTACTTGTTTTCATCTTAAATTCATCAAAAACCCAATCCCCTTTATTTTGCTAAGTCAAATATGTCCCATTGTGTGTTTTTAAGTTTTTTGAGTCAAAACCAATTCTATTTTTGTCCAAATTAAGTCTTAGAGTCTAGTTTGAGTCTTTTTTATTGTTTTGTGTTGTTTTGAGTCTTTTGAGTTTATTTTGAGTCATATAGGTTTAGTTAAGAGTCTTTGAGTTTGTTTAAGTGTTTTTAAGCATATTTTTGTATATTTGAGTCAGTTTTCATTAGATTAGCAATCCCTCCTAATCCCCGGCCTAGAACAATCCTTACTTATATCTTTACTACAATTGTCAAAAAGAGGGTTTAATTTGAATGCTATTATTTATCACATCAACTCACCTGAAGCTTACCTGGGCGTCCGCGGCGTCATTTAGCACTTCAAAGCACTCACAATAGTTAGGTTCAAGTAATATCCATATGAATATGCCATGATGCAATCTAACCCAAACATTTCATGATATTCCCAAAATATATAATATGGCGTAACATGTACTATTAATAACACCCTACTCCCAAACTATTTACTTTTGAGAGTAATCGTCAGTGATAAGCCCAATTAGACACTAGTTAAATTAACTATCATTACTTACCTTTCCTTACTTCAATTTCTTGATTCTTCATGCATCGATTTATGATTAACTTTTAATCACCAAATCATAAAGCTAAATCTCATACTTCCCACCAATGTCCCTCACATTGCTAAATTCACTAAACAAGGCTATTGTCTCGATTATTTAATCTCATTTATTATATGGCTGCATCTAACGTCTTGTTAGACTGCCCACGTACCCTAAACAGGGATCAAGCCATTCATAGTTCGCAATGATTAATTGTAGGTAACAAGCATAGATCACTTTAGAAGTGTTTGTGGAACTATCAATTATATGCCTATGAAAGAAAAAGACCCACTCACTTGGAGTCCATGCTATGATTATCTTGCACGCACATCGAGACATCACGATCTATCGTCGCCTGTGACCAATTATCAAATCACGTCTCAAAGTTCTTACCGATAGAATACATAAT